AGTCTCGCTTACCATTTTTAGGTGAATTTTCACAAGAGTTTGATTATGTGTCACTTGGAATTCAGTTGGCCCCTTTCAGTCCCATTTTAAGTAGATCAGCCAAATTTATGATGTTAACAATAATCTCTGATATACAAGAATAAGCCTGGGCCCTTGATCTTTCAGATTGCTCAGCTTTTGATGCTGTGTCTTTGAAGGCGTGTTGATGTCTTAATAAATCTCAGCAGAACTGCACTGGGGTGGTTTCAGCCTTCAATCTCTCACCCTACACTCCAAAAGCACTCAGAGGAGCTGAGCTCACTCCCTTTAGCTTATGGTTTCTCTCACAAGAAAAGTGAGGGTTTACTTGCCTGCTCAAATTATGTGTGTGAGGTACCCAAAGGGAAATGAGATGCTCTGAGCTGGAATAATCAGTGTTCCACCACATCTTTTAGTAGAGTCGGAAGCCATGGCGGTCTGATACCATCTGCACACCAAATGTGCTGGTTCCTGACATTCTACGTGAGAAGTCAAAAAGAGAACAAATTCTCCCTTGATCACTGGACTAAAACATTAAATGAGATAGACTCACAAAAATTGCTGCTTTGTCCTGTTATCTCTGTAGTATTTCTTTGATCTGTGCCAATTTCAACTGTTCTGGTAATAGTTCATGCCACTTTCTGTCAAACATCAGTTATTATCTAAAATCTAATTTGTCTAGTTTGAATGTATCAGAAAATATGATTTAGGTTTTCTGGTGGTAGATGTTTGTAAGAATGCATTGGTCAGGATCCTTGTCAATCTCTTTTTCTAAAAGAAACCATAATTTCCATAAATATGAAATGCATTCACTGTGCTCTAAAACTCAAAAACACCTGTGTTGTTAATACTGGTAATTGCCAAAGCCTGTCAGTTACATCAGTGGAAGAATATAAGTTCTCTCATAGCAATGCAAAGCTTGTTTCTTAGGCTGAGCCCTCGTGGTTTGAGAGAGTACTTTCTCCTTTTATTAGTTGACATGTATTTTTTAGGTAACTTGAAGGCTATCCAGTGGACCATTAGCTTAAGCTGAATCAAGAAATGAGTACTGGCCTACTTCTCTAGGTAATGATTAGTTCAGTGTGGATCCAATAAGGACTGAACTTCTTTCATATTGTGGAGCTTTCCTTTGTTTTCCTGCAGAACAATATGTAAGGAGCACTTAAAATTTAATAGGTCATGGTTTGGATACGAATTACAGTTCAACATATAGGTCTTCTAATTCCCTGGGCTTCTATCTTTTTAAACATGTAATAGCAGGATTTTTTTTTTTTTTTGTCGTTGTTTAATAGGGTTTATTTTATAGCATTACATGATTTTTATCTTCAACTCTTTCATTGTTCAGTTTCCTCTTGTTTTTGAATTTCATTACTATTTTACCACTCATCTTAAAGTCAATCCTAAATATAGACAAAGGCTGAAGTGGAATAGGTGTTGGAATGTTGATGCTGAAGGGAGTTCCTGGAACAGGCCTCATAAGGCTGCTGGAGAGGCAGCTCCAATGGTCAGTGTTTCTGAACCTTGCAGGAGGACTGCTGGGGTGAATGCAGAACTGGATGGATTTGCCCAGTTTTAATCTTGACTCACCCTTCAGGTTCTCAAGCTCAGTCCTGGTCTCCCATCTATGAAATGTTCGTCAGAACTGAAGATGACTATTCAAAGTTTTCCTCAGGTTTTTGGTTTGGTGTTTACTTCAGGGTCTTTACTTCTTTAATAATTTTTTTAACCTCACTGAGGGTAGAATGGCTTATTTCTAAGCTTACCAGAATCTGCGCTTTATTATACAGAGTAACGAGCATTTTTATTTAGTTAATATTTGTTCCCATATTAGAGCTCAATTCTAGTTCAACCTTCTCTCCTATTGTCATTACAAAGTGCAAAAAAGGCACATGGACACAGTGTGTTTGCATTTCTGGGATCCCAAAATGGCAACGTATTCTCAATCGTCTTTGCACTAAGCCAGAGAGGCTAA